AGTGCAAGGATGTTGTAACACAGTGGTTCTCATACGATGGGAAGCGCCGCATAAGGGACGTAAATACTTTTTTGAGGAGGCGTGGAGATAATTAAAAATAAAAATACTTGTTAGATTTGATTTTGCCGCCTTAGTTTAAATATTTCCATTTTTTTTTTGGATTTTATGTTCCATCCACGTATTTTGAATGTGTTTTGAATAAAACACACTTTAGTCTTGCTATCTGTTATTTGTAGCTTATTGCCAGATACAGGGAGTCTTCGACTTACGACGTTGTTCCGTTCTTGAGAAGCGATGTAACCCGAATTTCAGTGTAAGTCGGAACATTATACTGTTCAGTACATGAATTACTCTATACATATCGTACTGTATTGTAAAGTATGGTACTGTAATAAAATGTACAAATAATGCAAAAAGCACGATGTAAATGAGGAAAACCAATGAGCCCAAATCAGTGATTTTCTTGATCACAATTATCCAGTTTAAGGGCTTAGATATTACAGTACAAGTACAGATGTCTATTTTGTATTTTTTTGGAAGTGCGTTCGTAACCTCGAAACAGCGTAAGTCGCGACCGTCGTAACCCGAGAACTCACTGTAGCTATTTTTGAGGTTGGGCGCGAGACTTGACAAATTCCAAAAAGGGAACGCGGACTAAAAAACTGATTTAGATTGTTGCCCCTCGTTTATTTAACTAAAATTATAAATGTAAATATGCAAAACATGCTTAAAGTGGAGAACTGACTTAACTGATTTAAACAATAAAAAGCAAGAGATCAGGAATTAGTGGCGGGAAAGAACTGGATAGTTCACAATTTCTTACCCCATGTTAAGTTATAGTCCCACCTAATTCTAACCGTAACCTGAGAGATACAGAATCAGAGAAAGCATATCAGAAAATATAGCATAGTGCCAAATTTACAATGCCCTTGAAAGGTTTTACTAGTTTAAATCAATGAATATTATTTAATTATTCATTTAAATATTATAATCGCAAAGTAGTAGCGAGTAGTTTCTTTTAATTCTGAAAGTGATGCAACAAGACCGCAGATGTGCATCGCTGAGTGAGGGAATCGATCGCAAGACAGATTGGAAGCGTGAAATTAGGCCAGAGAGATTTAGAGATATCATATTTAAAAAAAAAAGCATTATTTAACTATAATTTTGAAGTAAAAATATGTTTGAAATATGAGTTCTTGAATCCGATAAATGCTGAATTATTTTAACCTGAGGACTTGTAGTACTTAAATGTCAAAAATTTGAAGCGAATACGCCAATTAAAAAGTATGTTACTGTGAAAGTTCGTTAAATTTTTTGTAATTTTTAACAGTATTTCTGCGGAGTGTAGAGCAAGATTTCTCGTGTGTTGTACGAGGCAGTAACAGGTGGAAAGGCCAGATCTCAGACGGAAACCGAGGTCTTCTTAGCTCTCGGTAATTATTCAGAACAACGAATCTGAGCGAAAGAGTTTGAGTCGCATTCTCAGTAGGGATGCTCAGATATGTGTTATATTTAGTATTCATTTTGAATACTTTAAATTTATTTAGCTGAAATATACTTGTTTGGATAGGGCCTCATTCAGGCGTCCTTTGGTAAATATTTATTCAGAACAACGAATCTTAGCAAAGGAGATTTCATGTTCTCAGTTGGGATTCCCAGATATATATATAGTATGAAATTTGTATTTAGTATTTATTTCCTATATTTTGAAATTATTTGGTTGAAATTTGCTTGTTTGAAGAAGTCTGGTCTTTATCAGGCAGTCTTGATAATATTTATTCAGAACAACGAATCTTAGAAAAATAGTTTGGCTCGTATTTTCAGTAGAACAGTATGATATTCTAGGCTTCTATTTAGTATTAATTTCGAATATTCTAAATCTATGTGGTTGAAATAATGCGATTTTTTAGTGAAGTCTTTGTTTCCTTTATTTTAATAATTATTTAACAGAATGAAAAAGGTTCAGTCCTGTTTATCTTCAGCCTTGGTGGCAATTATTCAGAAAAGCGAATCTAAGGGATAGAGTTTGAATCGTATTTTTAGTATGGTTTCACCTCGGTTAGACGAAACATTCCAGAAATATGTTCGTGTTTGAGTGCAGCAAGACTCTTAAATTGCACAGAATAGTTATCTGTACTACGAGTACATCATGTATTACACCCGTGGTTCCCGAACCCCAGCCTGTGGGGGGAAGTATGGCTCGTGTAACGATTTAATATGGCCCGCCGAGCTTGAGGGAAATAGTCAAACACCTTTTTTTTTTTTTTTTTTTTTTTACGTGCCAGTACTGCCAATTGTTACGCCATCATCACAGTTTAAGCACGTGTACATTCGCAACAATTCAGTCATACCCAGTAGTGGGTTTCAGCCGGTTCGCGCCGGTTCTATAAACCGTCTCACGGAATTTAAGAAAACAGCGAACCGGTTAGCATTACATGACTTTTTGTAACAGAACCGCCTGAAAATATTACATTTGTATGATGGAACCGGCTGACAAAAAATTGGAATCCCACCACTGGTTATACCGATGTCTTAATTATACATACCGATATCGGCCGCTTGCAAGGGCTTTCCTCCCCCGAATACTCTTCCGCTTCTAATTCGACCCCCAGTCAATTAGATTTGGGAAACTCCTTCGGATACGCATATGGATCCAACAATGTAAAGGCAAAGCCAGAGACGATAAAAATATAATTAATCGGGGGACCTCCCGAAGTATGCGCACCAAGATGGCGCACAACCTGAACTCAGATTGTGTACCAGGTTAGAATCAGGTTATGCGAACATCTTGGTGCGCATACTTCGGGGAGTACCTAATCGGGTTTTGTATTTGTGTTACAGAAACATCTATCAGACGTATCTATACGGTTTGCAATTAATCTCAGAATACCCATTTTATAAACAGATTTATTTAAGCAGACGCATGCGGTTTACCGTTAAAAATCAATAAGACATTCGCGGATTTTTTGCAGTAAATTACGTCATTCATCAGATTCATCTATAATTCAAAACATCATCTTTCCTTCTAAGCGTCGCCATAGCAACGGTGTCCCGGATGTTCCTACACGTGTAAATTACAGCCCGAACAATGTTGCGTGGTCATGTATGGCCCTTAGTTATTTTTAGCTATAGCTTGATTTTTGATTTAGCAGGCCAAAACCGAGGAAATGCGATGCATATTTGGCCTTGCAGTAATGTACGCCTTTAGAACCAGTTACTGAGTGTGATTGCAGGCTTTCAGGGTAACAGGTGATATGACGACGAGAAAGTGTTTAGGTCATTATATACAATTTTAACTTTTCAGGTTTAGCGCGGTCGGTAAGTCAGTAAGTCGGTCTATTTAAGACGGACTGCGAACAAGGTAATAGTCGATTAGACATCGGATATTTTATATTTTATATTAATATATTTTATATAGTCGATTGGACATCGGATATTTTATACAATGCAAAAATGTGAGATTTGATAAATCACGCCCGCTACGTCTGAAAATGAAAAATTAGTATTTATTCAGTTTGGGTTAGAAATGATTTAAAAATTTGAATTTCCATGGCAATCTGCATTTTTACCCATAACGGGGTAATTACTATTTTTCTTATGGACATTGGCTGTGATGTTTTTGGGCGGGGGCTTTATATAAAAAACCACAGACATCGAGTATGCCTTGTATCTATATGTGAGTTTTTGTCTTGTGTGTATTAATTTTTTGGAACCATAGCGAAGTTCAGAATAAATTAATTAACGCCCGGCATAAATAGAACTGGCTATTTGTAGGTGATTGTTAGTATACACATTCTGCATTAAACCAAAATTCAAAAAATACCAAAGCAATCATGACCCTAAAAGGTCGCTAAATATAAATCAAATTAATTCTGTTGGTTTTATGTCAGCAGTGGCGTATCTTTGTAAAATGGCGCCCATGGCGAAGTTTATAATGCGTCCCTGGGTTGTTGACTGACAATTTTTAACGCCAGTTGTTGAATTGAGATACTTGTACAATAGTATTCAAGTAGAAATACGGATTTCAATTAATTCTAATTGGAAATTATTTTGTTGAAATATTTTACGATTGAAACCTTTTCGTTCTTTTTACGCCCCGATCAAAACGGCACTCATGGCACGAGCCATGACTGCCAAAAATACGCCATTATTACAACACGGATTACATCATGCCACATTTCAATAAACTGTATTATTTATACTTAATAAATTCACTGTTTTAACTCAAATTATGTATATTGAATGAGGCTCAGACCATTACATCACCGCGATTACTCATCTAGACGCTGAGCCACAAAAATCCGGGACCAAACAGGCCGACTCATTACTTCTACCATGATTGGTCACACTAAATAATCCGTCCTTTTAGGCGAACTATCATTTCTTTATACTTGACGCGGTGGTAGTCCATGATGCGACTGGTCATCCATAATTTATCAGATGCCATGCAATACGTCACGTCTCGAATATGATTAAGTGGCGGCTTTTGCATTTTGCTTACTATGACAAAAAAAAACGAAATAGATGGAAAACATTTCCAGTGTTTTACTTCTAGGGCGTAGAAAACTGAATAGACAACTTTGGCGGTTTTGTAATATTCCCGGGTGTTTTATCGTCCTCGATATCTTATTTTATCACCTACTTCGACCTGTTTTTTAAGATTCTCCCCTTTTAATTCCGCGATTATTCATGTATGTGTATTCTATGTGCTCCGTAAGTGCTATGTGCGTTTATGGTGCAACATCTAAAATACTAGGATGGCAGTTTTAAAAATAATATCTTTTATAATTTGTGTGAATTATTAGCGTTTTTTAGTATACTTAAAATATTATATATAATTGAACAAAAGAGCACGTTGTAGTATTTTTTTATATTATTATTTAGTACTTTTTAGATTAGTCAAAATAGTTTGGTATTTAAAATTCTAAATACTACGTTAAAGAACTGGCATGTAATAATTTTGATTATCGATCTGTTGTTTACTTCTCGCGAGTGGCTAACTTGCGTCTTCCTACACTTTACAGATACTGTAATCTACTTTTAACAGATTTTTACATTCAATTTTTATTCCCGAAACTTCCAAACTACAATTTTTATATAAAGAAGTATTGGAAATATTGTCAGATAACATCTTGGATATACATCTTTCGTCAGCTGCCGTTTCTTCAAAATAAAATTTGGAAAAATTCTAAACGACCAGATTTGACGGCAAAGATGCGATCAGCGATTTTTATCATTTTGCTCTGTAGAGCGTTAGCAGGTATTGTTTATATCTTATATTGTCGGCTTCCAGGTTTTTATCTTTTATTATTAGATCTGTAGATACCTGTATGGTAGCTTTGGACAGCATGCAATGCGGGTCGTCAGAACGAATTTCTACAGGAGTGATGACTCCTCGACGGCCCAGGGGCCGGAGCCATGGCCCATCTAATTAGGCCACATGGGCCATGGCCTATCAAGCTATTGGCCGCGGCCCCATCAGGAAAAATTCAATTATCTCACCAAAATTTTCAATTTTTACAAAATTGTCAATATTTGAACCAAAAAAATATACTCATGTAGTATGTGTACCAGGTTATGGTTAGGACGAAGTTTGTACAGATTTTTCACATTATAGTTCTATTATGAGTTCGGGGACTGTCTGTGTTAGCCATGGGAATAGTCCCTTTACACAACTTGATGAGCCGCGGCCCATAGCCTGCTGGGCAGAGGCCCAATTCGATGGGCGGGGCACTGGCCCATGGGCCATAGAGGAATCACCACTTCTACTCAAGAATTTTCACAACAGAGATTAAATTGAAGCCGATAAGACGACCACTCTGTCATTTTTATATTTCTGTTACTGAACTGTTCTACCTACTTTATAGCTGAGTGTGTTGGAACATGTTTAAATACTGGTATTTTACATCAACATTCAGACTTTACAATATACTCATACCTGTTGTCTGTAATGTCTGGCTGTAGCTTCAAAGATTTTACCTCAAATTGTCACTGCCCCACTGAACTATCCTATTAATCAGGAAAGCAAGAAATAGCGGCACTGGCAATTGTGTGTATTTGATATCAAGCATAGATTATCTGGGCATCCCAGGTTAAGGATGTTAGTGGTCGTTATAGTAATTAAAGTGTGCTTGGCTCACAGCAGCCTACACATCTTACAGAACTAGTGAAGTGAACGCCGTACTGTAACTGCTTGAATAATGCCGAACAAAAATATAAGGTGAAATTCATTCCCACTAAATAGACTTTATTGAAAAACATTAAAAATTTCACATCACCACACATTTTTGTTTGGAGTTATTAAAACCGTTATTGTATTTACTTCACTAACCCCCAACTTGAATTGCTTGCTTGAATTGCAGAATTGGAAGATCATCTTTGGTACTATTATTACTATTTCCCAGGGTTTACCTAGCCATTCACTTCTATCAGATACTCATATTTTGTTAGTCTTTTTTGTCTGGTGGTAAAATGATGGTATGTTTCAAGATTTTTGGGGAGAGTAAATCCTGTAAGATGGGTTTATTCTTGGGCGAACCACAGTTTTTTATTCAGTTATTTATCCATGTCGAGCATGGGAGTAGTTAACCTGGTATTCGTTTCAGATGATTAGACATTATTAAGGCTCTACTTCATTTTATCCTAAGATTTTGAACAACCAAAAAATACTCAGACTTGCTAATATTGATGTTCATGTTCTGACCAGCCATGCTTCAATCATCCATATTAATCACAAAGTATAACATTATCCTGGTAGTCCAGAAACAGAATTTCCCATCACTTCGAATCTTATTCTAACACTTGGTTGTTTAGCAAACGATTGCCTGCTCCTCTGATCTAGTCACTGCTACAGTTTGGGTATAGAATTAGTTACCAGCTAATTTGATCCATTTCAATGCAGAATAGGAATCTTTTTATGTAATTCTGTTTAAGATAATCTCTTGTTTAAAGCAAACAGATGACTAATATATTGATTCCAAGAAGATAATAAGGTAGAAATTCTACTTGGATATTGGATAGACCTATGAATGGTTACAAAATTGCAATGAGGCCTTTTATTAAAGTCTGAGGTGGCGCAATACTTCAGCCAAAATATCTTTGACTTTGTGTGTATTGCATCATCATTGTCATCCCCCAGTGTCGTATCATGCCTTTCAAATGCCAGCGCTTGAGGCTTTGGTGCCCGATATTTGCCATTCAAAATATAAACACAGTAAACCACCTGATATATTATCTATCAAAATGTAAATTTATTTATATTGGGCCAATATTGAGGTCTGAGTCTCTGACTAACTCGAATTATTTCTTTAAACACTGAGGCACCATCGAAAAATTGTCTATATAAATTTCTGTGGTGCCTCCTTCCCTTGGTGCCCTGAGCATGTGCTTATTTTGCTTAATGGTTAATCCAGCCCTGGTCATCTCACCAGTCCAGTCCTCAAATTTTCGTTAAACCAAATGATTAGCTAAGGTATCTACAATACAAATGTATATTTGTATTTTACCTCATTAACCGTTCATTAAATATCATGGTAATATGATGTGATAATGTCTCACAACCTTTAACAAAACCACACTGATGAAGAGAGAGTGAAATCTAGAACAGATTTTATAGTGAATCTATATTGCTTAATTACTATTTGTCCTTATCCTAACGCTATCATTTATGAGGAATATTTTGGAAACAATGGACTTGATTTATAAGACATTTTTTGTGGTTTCACAACTGAATTATATTCTTAGTGAGTTAGTGACACAGGAAAAAGTAGTAAGTTGGTGTTAATATCTTGAGATAGGAAGCATCAAACTTGTGTCCCTTTTTCTGTAATGTAAGTAACAGTGTTTCGCGGCTTGCCTATGTGAATGTAGTCCATAGTATCGCCACATCTATGGTGTTTATGTTGCAGCCCCAGTACCATCTACAACTAGTCAGTTTAAAATTTAAAAATTTGATCAGATTTAACCAAAGTAACGCTGAAATTGAACCAGAAAGATATTGGCTCTCAAGGAGACATACCAGTAGTTACCAATTGTACGCTGAGACTTAGGGATTGTGTTGCTAAGTTGTTGTTCTTATTGTCGTTGTTGTAAAAAGCACATTTTTCACAGCAACTGATCGACCAATCGATTTCCAAATTTCTGTATTACTAGGCTTTTATTAAGGAAGGCCTACTTTTTTTTCTATTTATTTTTTAATCCTATGGGGGCTCAACGATTTTACAATTTCAGGTTTTACCTTATTGTATTTTGTCTTGTCAGCGATATTGAATGTTAGTCTGATTTGTTAATATAATGGGAGGCTGTAATTAAAAAACAGAAGTAAAACCTTATCTTTAGTAATCTTGGAGATTTATACATATTAAATTAAAATTGATGACTCTTTTATTACAATTTCTTAAAACCATGAACTCCCTTCGAGCCAAGCTTTTTCTCACCATATTTCACTTGATTAAATATTGGAAATCTCTTTTCTCAGATAATTTCCTCCGGGACTGAAATTTTTTGCTTAATGTTTAATTTAATTAAAAATGCATTTCATTAGTGTGTGGGGTATTTATGAATTCCTGAAATTTTTGATATTTTGAATTGTTTTATCTTGGGTGTTCCAAAAGACCAAAACCGAATAATATACTAAAGGAGGATTTACATATTAATCTCGGGGGTGAGAAAAGTCATTAATATGGCTTAATCATAATATGGCGAACCACGGCCTATCGTCCGGTTACCAGTCCATGTCGGGTATGGAATTAGTTAGTTATTTGTTTTCAAATGCATGGACTTGATGGTGTAGGAAGCCATAACCGACCAGCGATTACGCGAACCACTCTGCGGTGACGAGGAGTCCAGCAATTCGCCCGTTCATAATTATCCTCGCATTGGATTCGAATCTGCGAACCCACGCAGTAATCAGAGGCCGAGCCTATTCTAAGTATAGTCTTCATAAATATTATTTTTGGAATGTAAAATTCGCTCATATTAATTGGGCCATGCTTAACAGGCAAAATTTATAAAAAGACTCATATATATATATAACTTACCCGTATATATTCATATAATGGAAGCTGTGTCAAGCTATAAGAATGCTTGTTAATCCAACTCTTAGGCATATGTCAAGTGCAATTCTTCCACTTCCCTCCTCACTGGCTTTATATCAATTGAGGCTATGTTTAATAAGCCAGGTTGGGCATTTCAGCCTATTAAAGACATAATCAGCTCTCTTACTATATTAATATTTCTGTGCTCCCGATGTATGCGAACCAAGATGGCGGACATCGGAACGTAATATGGGTAACAGGTTAGGGTTAGGTGATAATTTTCTAACCTAGTACACATTATACATTCCGATGTCCGCCATCTTGGTTCGCATACTTCGGGAGTCCCAATATTTCATCCAATACCTGACATTGGCTGGTAACCGGACGTGGATTGCTGGACTCCTCGCTGTCGTAGGGTGGTTCACGTAACCGCCGGTCTGTTACGACTTCCTCCACCATCAAGTCCATGCGTCCGAAAACAAATAACTAACACCAGACATGGACTGGTAACCGGACTTGAGGCTGTGGTTCCTATATGGTTAAGCGTTCTTATCCACTTTCCACTACCCCAGGATAAATATGTACCGTAAATCCTATCCTATCCTAATAGCTTTATATCTAGTGCATCGTCCGGAGTAAAGAAGGTTTTTGTCTCGGTATTATTCATTTTCAAAACATTCATTTCCAAAACGAATCGAATATTCGAATACATTTGAAATTCATTATATTCGATATAGTAAATTTTTGTATTTAGGAATAATTTATAGCGTTCTTATAAAAAAATTCAGGATTTTGAGCTCTGTGACAAGCAGATAAAAACCTACGATATCTCAACTGGTAACAAACAACAAAGAGAATGCAAAGAAATTTGTATTTATCGTATTTCTCGCCTAATAAGTCTACCCAGCAAATAATACAAAGTCTATTTTCAGCTCTAAAAAAGAGAGTTAGTGTTTTATGGCACCAGCCCGTTTTTAAGAAATATACGACAAATAACAGCTAGCAGTCTAATTAATTAACGTGATTTGCAGACACTTTGGCATGATTACATTATAAAAAATATCAATTCAGATATAAAGTTTTCACTAAACATGTTTGATAGGACTCATGCGAAAAATGACCGACGAAAAAAATTGGGTCCAGAAAAGCGACTTATTAATAGCCTGGAGATATAGTATGTCGTTTTACACGATCAATATGAAGATGTGATTTATGTAATTTTTCGCATGAACTTGCCCCCAATTTAGAATGTATTCAATATTCCGTATTTAAAAATAATTTCTCAGAATGTATTCAAAATAGTGAAATATTTGGTTTTGGCCATCCTTGCTTCACGTTCACAGTGATACAAAAATTTTTGAAAAAGGGAGTAATAAGATTTTCTGTCAAAAAGGAAAGGCCAGGAAACCAAAATGAATTATTTAGTAGTTACAGACATGAATGTAATTATCTTTCTTTGCTCAAATCAGGCAAGCAAATGTCAGTTTTGATTTAACAAAACTTGTTCCTCAGTGTGGAAAAATGTTTTGTTGGCACTTTGGTATGCAATCTCACTAGTCTAATGTCACATACCACTTTAGTAAACGTTCGATAACTTATAAAGACAGGCTCATAGATTTCAGTTACTAACCTTAACTAAAATCACTAAGATCATATAACTGCTGAAATCGTGTACCTGTAAATTGCCTTCATCATAATTAATTTAGTGATACAAAAACTTCAAAAAAATAATCTTTCTTATTCGAATAATTGATTTTCTAGAGTCTTGTTTATCTAGAACAAGGTTTCTCAACCTTTTTTCTGTCAAGTACCCTCCGAGTCACGAAACAATCAACGCGAACCCCCGATAATCAGACACTGAACAAAGTTGTGATATATTGACTAATGATTTGTTGAAACAACAATTTATCGACCAGATATAACTGAATTAAATCTTCGTGTTGATATTATTGGCCTTGTCCTAACTAATAAATTCTTGAAATCTCTCCCAAGTTTTAATAAGCATAATTACTTTCTCCAATGCTCGCAGCACGCTGTCTTTTGAGATTTCACAGTTTGCCTGCAAAGCTGTGAATTTCACATTGTTGCGTCACAATCACAACAACGCAACGTCAGGGAAAATCTACGTTTCAATTGGCATCTAGTTTCAATTGACACGTATTTTCCTTTGGTAGTGATAAAGGATTATAAAAAACAGCAACACACAAATGCTCTACTGCTGTCCTAGTACCCCTGGAAATGGGGTTGGCGAACCCCAGGTTGAGAACCCCTGATCTAGAATATGTTTCAAGTAACTTTGGTCCTGTTTCTTTTTGGGGTCGTCTTGTAATATACAGAAATATCGGGCCTCCCGAAGTATGCGAACCAATATGGCGGACATCGGAATGTAATATGTGTACTAGGTTAGGGTTAGGCCATAATTTTAGGTATAAATACTACGGGAGGCTCTTGGCTAGTCTTCGAACTGATAATAGGACTAAAATAAGGAAAATTGGAAAAAAATTATTGCCTAACCCTGACCTGTTACCCATGTTACGTTCCGATGTCCGCCATCTTGGTTCGCATACTTCGAGAGCACCGAAATATCATATCAGAAATACTTTTTAAATGGCCTGCGTCTCTACAATTGAATTCTCTAAAGAATATCAGATGTATCATAATTTCTCAACGTGCTCCATAGGAGCCCGAGGGCTTTGTGAGAGAACTCTAGGGGCTGCGCTAGATATTCGTTTACTTACTACTTATTAAAATACCAAATATTTTTTTAAATACAAAGCAGCAAATTAAATTAATTAAATTAAGTAAGTAATTTTAATTTACACAGGGACATTAATCGATAGATAGCGATGTGTTCATTGTTTTTATTTTTATAAATTTATTGTGGGGCTAAGTAAATAACAGCCAATCACTCCATGGACACCGTAACACCAAAAGTTTGAGAACCCCTGAGATATACAAAATTTCAAATGTATTCCTTTCATTTTGGACCTCTCTAAATCTATTGATTTAGTGTCCGATCATCGCTAATGTCTTTTTTATGCTTTATTATTGAAGCAGGTACTCGACGTGACTTCATTATTGGAAATCAATTTAGCTTGAACACTTTATTGGATTTTATCATTCCTGTGAGAAATACAATAATAGATGATTAGTAGCTATTGATTGATAGAAAGGCTAAAGGCTGGTTCGCTATAATGTCCATAATCTTGAGTTGAATTGCCCAAAAAAAATCGAATTTTCGAATACTTTCATAATTACTCATATTCAGGGCATCTGTAATGTCCTCATTTTATGATCTTACAAGATAGGTTTGTACATGGTTTGAAGATTTGTTTCTATTTTTAATCTATTTTTCATTTTATATTTTGGCTTATTTCTATCATCATCAATATGATGAGGATGACAAAAATTCAAATAATAAAAAATAGGATAGGATTTGCATATTGTTCATTGGCACCTGTAGCTTTACTCAGATCTGAGTCAAGCCAAATTTATTTTTTCCAACCAGTAGATAAAAATAACAGTAGAACACAGAAAATACGAAAAAAAGGGAAAATTTTATTGGGGGAAAGCAGAATGGGGAACCAAAGCTTGTTATCGAGCAGCGACACCCGAAGTTTAAATATCTGATTTAAAAAAAATTAAATTTTGGAGTTAATACTGTTTTTTTGACTGTGAGCACCGTACGAATCATGTCTCCTTCACTTCTGACTGAATACGTGTGACCTTTCTTTGAGCGAATTTCCATCACTACCAGTACCGGTACTTAGTATGGCGTAAATCTGTGCTCTTGGCATATTTAATACTTGTTCGTAAGTTCGCCAAAAGATGAGTCATCTTTGCTTCTGAATGAATGCTATGAAGAAATTTTATTGAAAACAATTTACAATATTCAGTGATCAGTATAAAAGTTTTTTTCCATTATTTTTTTCAGAATCGGATGAAATGGATGAGATCTGGATAAGACCAGCGTCAGATAAAACCGTTCCAATAGGCTCAGACTACAGTTTGAGTTGTCATTACGTTACTGAGGTCATTAGCCAGGTCAAGTGGGTCAGTCCTGACAACGTTGAGATGACACATAACCCTCCTAAGGTTGGTATAGTGTTCTGTAGCGTTCTTTTTTGGTCATGAGCGATTGCCTACCGGTTAAAGCAGCGATGGGCAAATTTGCGGACCGCGGATTAGATCTGGCCCATCAAAGTGTTTCAGCCCACTTGTTTCTGCTGATATTATGACTATTGTTTTTATGGATATAAATTTCTGTTGAAAATATCTATGAAAATAAGTTTGAGTTGAAATATAAGATTATTTCGACTCCATAATCAGCATAATAGACGATAAAATAATTGATAAAAACATAAAATAAATAAAACTTATTATAGAATCGGGAGAGCAAACAAAACCTTAAGTAAGGTTTGAAGCGTAACGTCATACGTTGATAGGTATTTGTCTGTTTGTTTGTCTGTCTGTCTGTTAGATGCACGCGATAACTCACAAAAGTGAGGTTGAATCTGTTCCAAATTTTGCGTGTGCATTCATTATATCTCAGACAAAAAGCCTATTGATTTTGGATGAATTATGTCGTATAATTAGCGAGATATTAAATAATTAGTGATGGAACACGCGGTGTCACTATGGAGTCGAATGAATCGAAAACCACAGTTTCTATTTTGGGGAATCCTCTAACTTTCGATCGAAAAGTCTTCGGTCTCTGACCGATATTCTCCTTATTCTTAGTTATTCATATTGAGTTTTGGGCCTATTATGTGTAACTGGCCCACTGAGAAGGTGATTGCCCATCCTTGGGTTGAGGTGTTGAACTGTGTTCACATCCAGATTATACCCAGCCTCCCCACTTCACCTTGACTGAAAAACATTTCTAGTCATAGATGTGTAATTTTTGAGATAAAATTTTATCACTACCTCCCAGGTTTTGATTGAGAAAGAAGCCGGCTTACAGATTCTCACTTTGAATAAAATAACTGAGCAAGACACTGGGATGTATCACTGCCAGGGATTCAGCAATTCTGCAAATAACACCGTTCGAAAATCCAGAGTCATATCTGCTTACGGTAAGTACCGGTACTTTTTATTTCTATTTTACTATAATTCTGTGATATTTTGTTCTCAAAATATTTGTTCTCAGAAAAGAATTGCTAACTTTTTGCAAGGATCAGGGCCAGGGATATCCAAAACATATCGAATATTCAAATAAATATTTCTTTCTGGGCACCCAGCTCCTACTCAACTCTTGCTTCTGCTCCGACTCACGATACTTCTACATCCATGCTAGTATTAAGGACTCTGCGACATGGCGCATCGTGCTAAATGAACTTCAGGAATACGCTCGCCTCTGGTTACCCTGCGTGGGTTCGCAAGTTCAAATTCCATGCAAGAGGATTGCTGGACTCCTTGACATCGTTGGGTGGTTGACGTAACCGCTGGTCGGATAGGGCTTCCTCCACCATCAAGTTTATCATCATCTGAAATAAATAACTAGCTAACTAATCCCATACCCGATCTTGACTGGTATCTGGACGAAAGGCCGTGGTTCGCCATATGATTAAGCTGTATTGTCGACTCTCCCAAGGATAAATATATATATATCCTATTTGTGTATGTTCCCCCCCCCCAAAAAAAAACAGTACCTTATTACATATCTGGGAGTGCTTATTCTGAGTAAAGGTGTGAAAATACCTTTAAATATGAAATATATCTAATTTCAGATTTGTTTTGCTCATGATATTCCTAGTAAAAAGTTAGCATTAATCACTCATTCTCTCTTCTCAGAACCTGTGCGAATTGTGAACACTCCATCAGTCCAAATATTTGAGATTGGTACGACAGCTACGGTGCTATGCAGTGCAAAAGGAAGGCCCGAACCTACGATTATTTGGTTGGATGGGACGGATAAAATTGAAACAAATTTAAATGGTGAGTTAATGGATAGGTCAGTAGTTCTTCTTGAATTGGGGTAAATCTGATTCAAAATGAGGGTGAAATTGTCTCCTATTTGAGGTAAATTTGACTTTTATGTGGGTTGGGGAGAATTTGCCTTGTATTGGGGATAAATTTGGCTTTTACTAAAAAGAATTTGGCTTGTAATTTGGGGGTCACTTTGGCTTTTCTTGGGAGGAATTTGGTTTGTATTGGGGATAAATTTGCCTTTTACTAAGAAGAATTTGGCTTGTAATTTAAAGGTCAATTTGGCTTTTCTTGGGAGGAATTTGGTTTGTATTGGGGATAAATTTGGCTTTTACTAAAAAGAATTTGGCTTGTAATTTGGGGGTCAATTTGGCTTTTCTTGGGAGGAGTTTGGTTTGTATTGAGGGTAAGTTTGGTTTATATTGGTGTAAATTTGGCTTGTATTGAGGGGGGGGGGGGAATTTGTTTTGTAATGGGGGTAAATTTGGCTTTATTAGGGGTAAATTTGGCTTTTATTGGGTAACCATCGGTTAGGGCTTCCTCTACCTTATAACTTATCCCATACCTGAGATCGAAAGGGTCTGATAATTGGATGAGTGACCCTGGTTGGCTATATGATTACACCACCCAATCATCTTTTCTCTCTCCCAAAATGAATTTAAACATCCTATTTTTTTTTAGAAAAATTCTCAATGGAAGAAGGCTCATCAAACCTAATCATAAAAAACATATCCAAAGCAGAGGAAAGAAATTTCACATGCAAAGCAAGGGAACTTGGACAAGGACAAAATAAAAAAAAGGAGATACAAGTTTTTGTTTATGGTGAGTTTGGGAAACCCCCCTCCCTCACTGGAAATATTTATGTAATAAATTTGGCTATCCATGGCAATGATAAAATAAAAAATCTGGTTTTTGTTGATGGTGAGTATGGGGGAACCCCCTCCCCGATTGTAAAAAAATTGATATATAAGACTTGTAACTCTGTGAATTAAGAATACTCTTTGATTGGTACAAGACTGATATACAAAGTACTTTTGTCTATATTTGTCCAAATAAAAGGGCGGGTAACATGAAAATTATGGGAATGAGTTCTTGTTTGTGTTGATAATGGGGAACCCCCTCCCCCTATGAAAAATTTGGCACTAGAACTTTGTAGTTGATAAGTCTCCTGGGTTCCTCTGATATTTTACATAATGTTTATAAAATGTACCTCTCGTCTATGTTGGCTATCTAAGTTGCGGATAGAAAAGAAGAAAACATGTTTTGTTTAAGTTGATAGTATGGGATCCCTCCCTTCATAAAAAAAAATTGACATTCAAAAAAAAAATTGATGTTAATATTTTATTTTATCATACTGGTTGATATTAGTAATAAATGTAATAACGTTTTACCCAAAGATGTGGGACAATTATTCCATGTCAAGTGATTGTACTTTTTTTCTCGCATTGTTCTGTCACAATTAATCTGAGAATTTAATTTGGCAAGCCCCACATCAAAAATAACTAGCTAACAATAAACTGCATATAACAGATAGTAAGGCGAAATTTTGTTTTATTCAAAAAGCAGGGTAAAAAATATGTGGATGAAACGTAAATAATGAAATAAATGAAAAGTTTTAAGCATGTTTTTCGAATGCTTTATCAAGATTTTGGAAAGGAGGCGTGATTTCCATTTTGAATTCGCCGAAATAGGGCGAGCAAGATCGAATCTGAAAACATATTTTCATTTTAATCAGAATCACGTCTCCCCGAAAAATTGTCTATGACCCCCTTGTGGGGCACACCACATCGTTTGAGAACCATTGCACTAATATCCTTATCTTTTGTTCAGTTCCCCCAGTGATTCAAAACTTTGAGAAGGCTTTAACAACTACAGAAGGAGCAACCACTGTGCTTATATGTGATGCAACAGGAGACCCTGTGCCAACATACAGGTTTGTATTTGAATACGGGTGCTCCCGTAGTATGTGTACCAGGTTAGGGTTAGGCCGTAATTTTATTCCGATTTTCCTTATTTTAGTTCTATTGCGATTTCGGGGACTGTTTGTGTTAGACAAGTGAATATCCCTCCTGCCCATAGGTTTCAGTCCCTTCCACAACTTGATGTAAAGTAGGCGAACAAAATTAGTTACCTCCATATTGGTACACATACTTCTGGAGCCCCTTTATTCGCCTCCTTTGGAACATCTCTGAGTGAGTGTTATGTTTTCTCTAGATTACAGTGGTTCCCAAGCTTTTTAAACCATACCCCCTTTTCAGAAATTTTCAAGTCTCACACTCATGTCGAAAAGAATACTAATACTGTAGTAGCTAATAATATTTACAAATAACAAATAGTGAGGCGAAAGTATGTTTTATATTTTATATTTTAATAACTTCTATATGGTTGTGTGTGTGGGTGCGTGTGAGCGTGTGTGAAATATTTCAATTATTTTAGGTGAGTGAACACGTACCACATCTTCTTGGCAAAACCTTCCATCTTATATACATTCTGTACGTTTTAAACCTTATCTAAGGTTTTGTTCGCTCTCCTGATTTCATAATCAGTTTTTATTTATTTATTTTTACCATTCATTTTATTGTTTTGCTGATTATGGAGTCTAAATAAACTTATTATTTTATTCACAAAACACTCGACAATACGTGGTTGGAAGTTCGAACTTGAATAAAGAAATGTAGATATCCAAAATAAGGGGGGCAGGATCAAATCTAACAAATTTTTTATTTTTATTTAACTTAGCGGCCCCTCAAAAAATTGTCTACTGCCCCCTTGTGGGTTGTTCCCCACCGTTTGAGAAACACTGCTCTAGTTTATTTTCCATGTGAAATTTCCAGTTTTTTTGGGTTACCCTTCAACTCAAGTTGAAATTCTTTAGTTTTAGTTGGTACAATGGGGATGACACTATATTAGATTATGTTTAATGTGGCAATTGTTTATAGGCAGAAATTAATTTGCCCGCACATTTTCGTCAATGTACATATATGGCCCAGTGGTTTGCTGACGAGCTCTGTTTTTTTTGTGCCACCCAGTAACTCAAGTTAAAATTATTTATTTACAGTTGGTACAAAGGGGATGGCAGTGTGTTAGATGAATCAACATTCATTCTTGATGGAACTGCATTGGAGCTGAGTAAGTTGGTATTTTTTAACCTTTTTGTATCTTCATGAACGGTTTTAACGAGGGCTGGGCATTTTCGAATATCTGATGATTTCAGAATCGAACCTTATTTTTTTTTTAAATCGAATACTTGGTAGATACGTAGTTGTATTAACTGTTTTATTTTAATGCGTCCTCCAGACACATAAATTAGTGAAAACACGTAATCTAACACTCAGACAGTTCACACACAATGAGAAACATGTTTCACCAATAACGCACTCAGAAAAAAAAGAGTTGTATCCACGAATGCATTTTAAAATTTTTATATGAATAAAAAAATAAGAGGGATTCACCTTACCTGCTGGCAGAGAGAAAAAAAACACAGCGGTGATTCGAAATTCCTGTCTCCACTGATTCGAATGATTTACTATTCGGGTTGATTCGAATATTCGATTAACAAGCCCAGCCCTAGTTGTAACTAATAAAGTTATAGCTTCCAAGATTTTAAACGATATCGAACTGAAGTCTTTCTGTGCCCCTTTCCATCAGGACTCTTTCCACTTTAGCTAAAGAAATCGAGCCTTGCTTTGAGCAAATTTTGAATAAATTTGGCTTCTATTGAGGAAAATTTGGCTTTCATCGGGGATAAATTTGGCTTGTATTGTGGATAAATTTGGCTTGTATTGTGGATAAATTTGTCTTGTATTGTGGGTAAATTTGGCTTGTATTAGGGGTGAATTTGGCTTGTATTGTGGATAAATTTGGCTTGTGTTGTGGGTAAATATCACTTGTATTGTGGGTAAATTTAGCTTTCATTGTGGATAAATTTGTCTTGTATTGTGGGTAAATTTGGCTTGTATTAGAGGTGAATTTGGCTTGTATCGTGGCCGGGTAAATTTAGCTTGTATTGTGGGTAAATATCACTTGTATTGTGGGTAAATTTGGTTTGTATTAGAGGTGAATTTGGCTTGTATCGTGGCCGGGTAAATTTAGCTTGTATTGTGGGTAAATATCACTTGTATTGTGGGTAAATTTGGCTTATATTGTGGGTAAATTTGGCTCGTATTGTGGATAAATTTGTCTTGTATTGTGGATGAATTTGGCTTGTATTGTGGGTGAATTTGGTTTGTATTGTGGATAAATTTGTCTTGTATTGTGGGTAAATTTGGTTTGTATTAGGGGTGAATATGGCTTGTATTGTGGGTAAATTTGGACTATAATGTGGGTAAATGATACCACGGGCCTTGTTCATAATATAAACTTGCAATTCCTTACAAATCAGATTTTTTAAATTTCTTCTTATTTTCAACCAGGTGTGAGTAGTGATATGAACGAAGAATCATTTGCATGCGTCGCTCGGAACGCTATCGGGACAGATGTTGCCTCTGTGTTATTGACAGTCAATGGTAAGATATTTCTGTTTTGTATAAGGGATCAACTGAATAAATCTCCCCCCCCCCCCCTGGACCCGCCTGGGGGGGAAATTCTTCATTTGGTCTTAGTTGGGGTGGAGATTCTTCAGTTGATCCCGTTTCCAACTGAAGAATATCGCCCTCCCCAGTTGTTCCTTCATTTGACCTGGTGTAGGGTTAGGGTTAGATGATCCGGTATAAGTCCCTAAACCCATGGGTTTCAACTAAGGTTCTGCCAGTACTGACTGTCTAGGGTTCCACATGTTTTCATTCAAATACGAAAGTCTATATTATTATATTTTTATTGTCTAAAAATAATGTAATACAGGGGTCGGCAACCGGAGGAGCAATATAATCCGACCTGCGACGCTTCACTGAATTATAGTAACAAAACAGCTATTTTGACGATTATATTCTTCACGTAACAGAATTTATTTTGAGAGTCGTGTAGACTAAATTATGTTATAATCAAACAAGTATATAATTCACAATTACTCGTTCAATGAGCCTATAATTTAATTATAATTAGACAAATGGCAACAAAACGCAGAAAAGTTGATGCTAAGTGCAAAGGGTTTAATGACGCAAAAAATATTCAAATGGTCAGTCTTCGCGTTCTGCTTAAAATTTAACGTCTGATCTGTGTGGAAAAATGTGATTTATCGGCCATCCGTTCGGTTTATAACTTTCTAAAAATATATGCGGCCCACCAATGACTTGCGACCTTTAATTTTGGCCCGCGAGCAACAAAAGGTTGCAGACTCCTGATCTTCACCTATATTGTTACACCGGATACACTTTAAAGATCATTTTGTTTTGCCAGCATTATACTTACTTGTATATATATATATATACCGGTATATATATATATATATATAGTATCTATCTTTTCATAACCAAATGGGGTTTTTCAAGTGAGTTATTTAAACTTTTGTTTCCTGCTAATCTCATCTGGGAGATAATTATGTACGAGAAGATTGCTGGACTCCGCTGTAGGGTGGTTCGTGTAACCGCTGGTCAGTGACTGAACTCCCAAAGTCCATACAACTGTGACTGTAACAAACAACTGGTTAGCTAATCTCATATCTTAGATCAGGGGTTCTCAACCTTTTTTATGCTGAGTACCCTCCGAGTCACGAAACAATCAATGCGAACCCCCAATAATCAGACACCAAACAAAGTTGCGATATATTGACTGACAATTTGCTGCAACGACAATTTATAGACCTACTGCTACCTACCTAACGCTAGATTAGTGAAAATTTACGCTGAGTTCAAATTGACGTTCATTTTCAAGTGGTTAGTTACTCAGTTTTCCTTTGTTAAAGGATATTGTAAGAAAAAACTCGACTGCCATCCAAGTACCCCTAGAAATCTTCTCGTGAACCCCGGGGGTTCGCGAACCCCAGGTTGAGAACCCTTGTCTTAGATGGACTGGGAACCGGACAATTTGTTGCTGTAGTAGACCATATGATTAAGTCGTCTTATCATCTTTTCTTCCCAGGGATAAAAATGTAAATCTTATCATATCCTAGACATATCAATTTGAATTTGATTTGAAAATTTCAATACAACATCTCCATAAAAAACTCTCAAAGCAGTCTTGAAAATAACATTTATGCTGAGCATTGATTAATTGACGCGAACCCAACTTAATTTGGGAAAAAGCCATGAATAATTCAAAACCTTGTAGATTGATTCATAGAATTACTATCGCTCGCTCAAAAACAAAAAATCTTGAGAAAAAGGAAATGTGAGATGATAAGAAACCAGAAATACTTTAAAACTGCTATGCCCTATACCAAGGCTACTCAACTATTTTTACCGAAAGTCCGCAAACAAAACTTCAAAATTATTTGGGTCCGGTCTTTCCAGAAATTATATTTTGGCATCCTTAAACGAGCACTTCCTCGGCCGACCAATGATTAGTAGCAAATTAAAATGGTTTATTATGGTGGTATAGTTCTTTTCGTATATATTCAAAACTATGAAAGTCATTTTATAATAGGAAATTCAAAAAGTGGGGCTAATGATTCAAAATAAAGAATTAGGTGCGGTCCAAATCCAATATACGAAAGGTCCGGATTCGGATCGTGGTCCGCCAGTTGAGTAGCCCTGCCCTATACATTTTTAAATAGCATTGAAATTAAATTATTCGATTCAAAGAGTCTCACTGCACACTAAAACTAATCTATTTCTGTACTGTTTCTTTTGACTAAAGTTGCTTTAGTGTTGTAATTTATCCTCATTTTATAATCATTCAGAGTCGAACGAAATGTCACAGAAATTGAATTGTATTAGTATGTATGTAGTGCTTGAATTTGTCATCAGATTCAGATATTTATTTTCGTCATGCAATAAACATTGTACATTATCGTACAACTAATCCCATACCTGATATTGACTGGTAACCGGACGAGAGGCCGTGGTTCGCCATATCATTCGGCCATCTTGTCGACTTTCCTCTCCCTGGATAAATATGTAAATATCCTATTTTTGATCTTTGATTTTTTAGAGTATGAATAAAACTTTATTCATACTCTAAAAAGACCACTTGGAGTCTGTGGTCCCAGTTTGGAGACTCCTGGTGTAAAAAGTATAGATAAATCATACGCATAGTGATATCGCCATAATTTAGATACCTAATGGTTTAATTTAAATTTGTTGAAATCAAAATTGGTACTTTAAACTACTTTCAAATACAACTTAACAATTTCTAATATTTAAAATCAAACATTATTGTGACACATGAATATTTCCATTGTGACTATTGAATGAATGCCATTGTGACAGATGAATAATTATTACTTCACAATTAAAGAATGTTTTTTATACCCATGGGACCACATCAGACGTTGGTCAATATCAAATTTCAATTGGCAAATAGAAGTTTAACTCGGGCCCTGACCTACCATTGTTATATGCTTGATCATCCAGTAACTATTGCTATAATTATCTTTGGGAATTCCAAAACAAATTGAATCTAACACACTGATGCCAGCCACTGCACAGCTGATCGATTTGCCTCCTGTGGGGATGATTGTATGCAGGAGGATTGCTATAAGGCGGTTCACGTAACTGCTGGTATATTTCGGCTCTTTTCGCCATCAAGTCCATGCATCTGAAATGCAGGAGCAGGCAGAAGGGCGTGGTTAACATTATAATTAGGCGGTCTCATCATATTCTCTGGGATGAATGTGTAAATCCTATCCTATCTAGACTGTTTGAATTTGGTTGAAAGTTTTTGGAACCCCAGGACGTCACAGAACCGTGTTTGAAAACTGCTGGCATACAGAGCCGTGTTATTATATTTATCATTTGCTTTTTACTCGCAGATCCACATTTTTTTGTATTTTCAATTACTCATCTTTTATTCAAGCCAAGTTGTAGCGAAAAGCACTAAAGTGCGAGAATATGTAAATCCCATCCTTTATAAACTCTCAAACTGGCACAGGCACAGACAGCCATAGTATTATAATTACCGTTTTTCTACTTTCTATTTTTCATTTTTTAGTCAGGCCAACTTTCAGTGTATCGAGTGGCGATAAAGTGCGAGAAAAAGGACAAGCAATTTTACGCTGCATAGCGGAAGGTGATCCGTTACCCGAAGTCTACTTCTACAGAGATGATATTATGTTGCAAGCATCAGACCCCATGGTTACAGACATGGTATGATTTTTTTTTTTTTTGGGGGGTTGTATATTTGGTACTTTTTGTGTTGGGTGAGGGGATGTAAGTTTGGTATTTTTTGTGGGGGTATGAAATTGTGAGCACCCTCTGAAGTCTGGGATACATAGCAATTATTATTGACAATATGTTAGATTCAGAACATGTAATTATATTTTTGGACTGTTTTTGAGCGGGCGTGAGGCTAATTCAAAATAAAAATATTTATTTGATTTGATCTTGCCTGCCCTATTTTTAATAATTACTTTTCATTTATTTTATTATTTACGTTCCACATACGTAATAAAATATAGAGTCGCCTACTATTTGTTATTTGTAGCTTATTATTATCTAGTTATTTTTGAGGTGGGGTGCGAGACTTGACAAATTCTAAAAAGGGGACGCTGCCCAAAAAGTTTGAGAACCACTGTATTATATGTTGACATTGTATTATTTGTACTATTTCATTTTGTCAATTTCTGGCAACACTTGTTCACTTCTCTCATTACGTATCGATCTTAAGATCGGTAAGTATGTTGCTAGGTATTTGTCTGTTAGATACACGCGATATCTCACGAAAGCGAGGTTGAATCTGCTCCAAATTTTGCATGTGCATTCATCATAGCTCGGACCAGAAGCCTATTGATTTTGGATGAATTATGTCGTATAATTAGCGAGTTAATAAAAGAATTAGTGATAGGACACGCGGTGTCCCTATAGAATCAGATTGAATGAATGGGGGATCCCCTAACTTTCGATCGATAAGTCTTCGGTCTTCGACCAATATTCTCGTTGTTATTGTTTCACGCTTCATTGATTTGGTATCTGTTTGTTCTTGCTTATGATGATTGCAGCATGGGTGCTGTGCAAGCTAATTATATCCATTCTGATCCTGTAATATAAGGTTGTATTATATGATAATAGTCAGTTTAACATTATATAGATCATATTGTTACAGAATAGCACTGTGGACTATAATACGACATTTGGATCTGGGGTATGGAGCACAAATCGCATAGTCACTTACAACGGGAACGAGGCAATCGTCAACTTTACCTACACTACCTATCAAGACAATGGAAAGTACGAATGCAGAGCAACAAATGTAGCTGGAATAGAATTAGCGAACGTGTTCCTGGATGTTGAATGTAAGTTGGAAATGAGGGATAAAAATACAAGAAATAAAAACGGATACCGTATTTGCTCGTTTTGTGGCCCGGGCCCATATTTTTTTCAACCAACTCACTAACCGGGCCCTTATTCAAACCGGCCCTTATTCAAGCACGGGCGCTTGTCATTTTCGATCGATACAATAATTAATATATTGGTATTTCCAGTTCTCAAGTATGATTTAAACGAGAATAACGAAAATTTTGACTTTTTCTACGCACCGCAGGTACAAATCTGCAAAAGAAGAGAAGTTTTGCGACGCGCTATCAATATTGAGACCATGGTTTTACATAATCAATGCTATCTGTTATGTACTTGGACGCCTAAGGCGTGAGCTTTATCTACTGGCGCTTAAAATTCAAGAGCGTTGTAACAAAAGCGCTTCCTATTTCATTGTTCTCTACCACTGAAAAATTCAGCTTTTACATCGGGCGGGTATTCAAGCACCGGCCCTCATTCATTTTTATGTTCTGTTCACACGGGGGCTATTCAAACGGGCCCTTAATCGAATCGGGTGGTAAAACGAGCATTTACGGTATTCATAATCGATTACACGAGAGGACGAGAGGCCATCGTTCGCCATATGATTAAGCCGTATACTTGGATTTCCTCTCCCATATGTGTTAATCCCGTCCTATTCCATCTTTTGAAAATCCTGCAGCTAAAAATGTTTCAACATTTTTCAGACGCACCGAAATCAACTTTGCTGAATAATGTATGGTCATGCGAAGGCACTTTAGCCACCCTAGAGTGCCAATTCGCTGCAAACCCCCCAGCTAATTTATCATGGGGTCGTTATTCTACCGTGGAGGGAACAGATGAAATGGATCTTGAGAATTTTAATAAATATTATATCACTGATACACCTGATGGCGTTTTTATCAGCAAAGTTGGCGATATTTTAACGCTTACAGTAAGTTTTTTATTGTTCTGCTCATCAATTCCCTGTCAGAATTTTCCGTACTCAATACTCCCGTAGTATGTGTACAAGGTTAGGGTTACACCATAATTGCGATCAAATTTAGTTTCGTCACGAGGCTCATTGTTTTTCTACCTTTGCTTTTGTAACACTAAATATTGTTCATAAAATGTAACTTTTAACGTCACACTTACATGACCCAGGTGGGCAAAATTTTTGGTCTCTGGCCCAAAAACCTTGCTCATCTCTGGTCTATATGGTAGCCCAGTTTGGGGCCATTTATCTTGTTCCCACCCTGCTGTTCATATGACAGTTAAATAGCAATCTATGGAGTTTGCCATTCAAATGGCGATTGGGATTCTATCCTATGAAACAGACTCTACATTTAATTTATGTGCAATTGTGTGTGCAATTGCGTTTCTTGTCACAGTTGTAAAATGCTTGTCTGAAGAAGTCTGACCTCGTTCAGACGAAACGTTACAGAAATATATTTGTGTAAGTGTGCAGCAAGACTCTTGAATTAAATAGAATGGAATCCTATCCATCCCTATTTTTCAACCTGCTGTCCACATAGCAGCCGAATAGCCTCTAAGAAGAAGGCGGTTGAGATTCCTATCTTTTACCTGCTTTATGCATGGCAGCCTAATATGCCTTGGAGGCTATATTCAACTAAACCAGGGTGGGCCAAACTATTTGGCCGACGGGCCACATTTAGTTTACTAATAATTGCACGGGCCACTTAACATGGTAATTATGTTCTAGTTTTGCTACACTGACCAAAAGTAAATAAAAAAACAAACAAAACCTTCGCACCAAACTTTCTCAATAATGAGAACAATAAAAAAACGAAGATGCAGTAAAGTCAACAAAGTTTTTTCGACACGTAGATATTTTAGTGTGAAGTTTGGCACTGTTTTTCGTTTGTCAATATTCGCTGAAAAGGACGATGTTGCAATGCGAAGCGAATTTCCCATATGACTGTCAGAAATTAGGGATCTCACAGGGGATTTGACATGGGTCATCTGTGAAAAAACCTGCTTGTACGAGTACGTGCTGCCAAATTATGAGGTCATTAAAACTGCCATTCTGCCCAAGTATGTAAGCTACTAGGTATGTATTGATATCTTCTAGTTGGTGATGGCACTGCACTCATGGCTCGTTTGAAAGGGGTAGCAAAGCGCATTTCAGGAAAATGAACAAATTGTTTGTATCAAATCTTCATATTAACTACATCACTCGAAAAATAGAAGTTTTACTCAATTCCGAAAATACAGCGCGGGCCACTCGAAACTCCTTGGAGGACCACATGTGGCCCCCGGGACGCGGGTTGGACGACCCTGAACTGAACCATGGAGCAGGGCGTCCCAAACTTTTAATCTCGCGTCCCCTTCTAATATATTAAAATTTCTGCGAACTCTATTAAGTCGACATTGTTATGCAAGCTTCCCTGATTCTATTCTCTCAAAATCATGAGATTTATGTTTTGCACTAGTTTTAATAATTGTGTTCCGAAACAAAAGTTCAAAAAGTACAATAGATATAGTAATTTGTGTGGATTCAATGTACTTTTTGCGACCTCTTAAATTCGTTGTGCGCCCTCTGCAGGGTCGTGCCCCTGAGTTAGGGTAGCTCTGTATTGGAGCATATATCTATCTCTGAACTCCCTTGTAACTGTTGTTCGGTTGCGGGTCAGCCCATCATCCGAGTTCGGATGCATGAAACATGATATTTTCTGATTTGGGCTGTTGGCCATGGTTGACCAAATATAATATAATATTTTAAACTTTGACGAAAAATTTTATTTCCAAATTCACAAGGTTTCAAAAATACGTATCAAAATTAACATAATCAGGCAGTTTATCTCATATATTTATGGGTACTCCCGAAGTATGTGAATTGTGAACCAAGATGGCGGACACCGGAACGTAGTATATGTACCAGGTTAGGCCAAAATTTCAGGTCCAAATAACATGGGAGTCACGATTGCCGTGGGATGAATATCTAATGATTAAAATTATCCATTCGCATCTTTTTTCAGATTGACACAGACATAGTCCCTGATCCCTGGGGCTCCTACTATTGCTTAGCAAGAAATATCATCGGATCAAACAATGCTTCTGCGGTGTTGAATAAAGCTGAGGCACCTGACGCACCAATCGGCGTTCAGGTATTTTTTGTTTTTGTAACCACAAGACTATAATAGACATTGGTGCCTAAGGTGCTAATATGTTTGAGAGACCTAGAATTTTGCCAACCAATTTATAACACGCCAGTTGAGATGCACCCAGTGGTGGGATTCAAATTTTTTGTCAGCCGGTTCCATCACAGAAGTCACATTTTTCAGTCGATTCTGTTATACGTTTTTTTAGTAATGCTGACCGGTTCGGTGATCTTATTAAGGATAGGATTTACATATTTATCCCGGGGAGAGGAAAGCCGATAAGACGGCTTATCAATATGGCGAACCACGGCCTCTCGTCCGGTTACCATTTCATGTCGGGTATGGGATTAGTTAGTTACTTGTTTTTCGGAAGCATGGACTTGATGGTGGAGGAAGCCGTAATCAACCACCCTACGGCGGCGATGAGTCCAGCAATCCTCTCGCACATAACAATCCTGCATGGGATTCCAACCTGCAGAGTAATTAGAGGTGCGGTGGCGAGTGTATTCCTAACGCTCAGCACGATGAGCCACATTGCCGCGCGGACAGTTTTATAGAACCGAAGCTAACAGACTCAATCCAACCTCTGGATGCACCTATCAGAAAGATAAGTTCATTTTCATATCTTAGGACAGGGTTATCCAAACTGGGATTCCCGGACCAATGAAAGGAGCCTTATCGATCTTTCAATAATCGATTTCAATCAAAAAGCTGATTCATTTTTTTTGCGTGAGGCAGCATTTTCAGCTCTTACCAATATGATGACAAAATACAGGTCGAGAGTTGGATCCACGAGTTTACCTGTCACAAATATTTCCGAGAATTGATAAATTGTGCAGTGAAAAGCAACCTCATTCATCACATTAATGTCATTTGTGTTATTGTGTTGTTAATAAAAAGCATTACCCTTCCTCAGGCGCGGCGGTGTGGCTCAACGGGCCAAGCGTTAGGAATACGCTCGCCACCGCACCTCTAATTACTCTACGTGGGTTCGCAGGTTCGAATCCCATGCAGGGATAGTTATGTGCGAGAGGATTGCTGGACTCCTCGCCGTCGTTGGGTGGTTCACGTAACCGCTGGTCGGTTACGGCTTCCTCTACCACCAAGTCCATGATTCCGAAAACAAACAATATATAACAACTAATCACATACCAGACTTGGAATGGTAACCGGACGAGAGGCCGTGGTTTGCCATATAGATAAGCCGTTATCGGCTTTTCTCTCCCCGGGATGGATATGTAAATCCTATCCAGTCCTATCATTAGTTAGGCACAGAAATTGATACGGCATAGGATGGGGGTCCGTCGAAACTAAGATTCACAACTAGGGGCCCACTGCCTAAAAAGTTTGGGGAACCCTGCCTTAGGACCAGGTCCTAGACAAGTAGACATTGGTACATGAGGTGCTGCAATTTTTACAAGGATCGGAATTCCGCCAGTTTGGCATTTCTAACCCGATTTATTGCACCCTGGGTAGGTTGTTACCACCAGAATTAGGGTGTTAGGGTCTCCCACCTTCTAACAAAGCTTTGAAACTGAATACAGTGTCATTATGGATAAAATAGTTAATGTGTGGTGTGGCGTGGTACTCGCCGTAAGTCTCCAGAAAACATGGTCATATGAAGTCTGGTAAAAACTAGTCGCAATTTATTCATCAAGCATGCTCTTTTCTAGATTTCTGACATTGGGACAAGAAAAGCAACAGTTTCGTTCACGGCTTTACAACCCCTAGTGGACAATAATTACTTTACGATACGACTCACTCCTGCTTCACCGAACGCATCAGATGTTACTCAGAATATTGGACGTGAGTAGAACTAAGATTTATATTTGTAATAAATATATTTGTATTATTTATTTATACAAATGAAGATACAATCAGTAAACTTGAGTGAAATGGTGCTCCCGAAGTATGCGAACCAAGATGGCGGACATCGGAACGTAACATGGGTAACAGGTTAGGGTTAGGCAATAATTTTTTTCCAATTTTAGTCCTATTATCAGTTCGAAGACTAGCCAAGAGCCTCCCGTAGTATTTATACCTAAAATTATGGCCTAACCCTAACCTAGTACACATATTACATTCCGATGTCCGCCATCTTGGTTCGCATACTTCGGGAGCCCCAGTGAAATAGTTTAACACTGTTTTTTATTTTATTTTTGCGTTCTAAATACCACCACTTGGTGCATCATTATCACAGTTAAATCACGTGTATATCCATAACAATTCAGTTACACAGATATTTTAATTACATGTAACGGGTACCGGCATTGGCCTCTTGCGGGCACTCCTCTCTTCTGCCCAACTTTGTTCAATCAATTACTGGAATCACGGAGTTACAGATTTGATATCCAGACCAAAAGATTGTACTCGGCCGATGATGACAGAGGATCAAAAAAGCGTTGATTTTTGAAAAATGTCCTTACAGGCTAAATCAGGGTGGTCCAAGATTGACAGCTCCGCGGGCCACAAAATTACTTTTGCATTGTTCGCGGGCCAAAATAGTGCTAAGAATTTGCTCATTCAACTTCGCTCGTTGCCTCCGCAAGCCATATCACTAGTCAATTCAGTGACATTTATGATGGGACAATATATCAACAGATTTTTTGTTCAATTTTATGACGATACAACACGAAATGCGATTTTTTGATTCTTCTCTGAATGCAACGCGGGCCACAGATATTGAAGCGACGGGCCACATGTGGCCCACGGGCATAGGTTTGGACCACCCTGGGCTAGATCATATAAAAAAAACTAACCCTGACCCCACCCCTCCCCAAGACACAACCCCCAGTTATTAATTAAGGTCAGATTTGGTCAGGTAAACTAAACTTGGTATTGGTCATAAGTAGGGCTTGGCATTTTGGAATACCTGATGACAATTAACTGAAAAAAAAAAAAATGGCGGCCTTTCGAAATTTTCGTTCGAATCGATTTAAACAATTTAATATTTGATTCGGTTTGAATTTTGAGTTTGTAGTGACCAGCCCTATTCTTAAGTCGAAATAAAAAAAAATGAATACTTCTGTATCGCCTCATGTTAGGTGAGGCCGTGAGCAGTGTTGTAAAAATATTCAAAAATTGGGAAATAATTGCCAGTCGGAATTTCACCGGGTCGTTTGTCTTTTCAACAAAATCTAAAAGTTCCTTCTTTTCCGAAAATTTACAGTAGTTCCCTTAAATATCTTTCATAAACCATTCACACAAGTTTGACTTTTTTTTTATTTTTCAGCTCAAATGTCCGAATACACTTTCCAAGATTTAGAACAAAACATGAAATATACAGTAATTGTTGAAGCTGTCAACTGTGAGGATACCAGCCCACCAAGTGAAGTAAAAGATTTCAAGACTGAACCTATCGGTATGTTATAGTTGGGATGGCACAGGGCCAATTCCTTATTCATCCCATGTGTTAGTGGTTTTAAACTAGGATTCTGTTAGTGCAGTCCAGGGGTTTTGCAAGTTCCTTCTGAGAGTCTATATCAGGGGTGAGCAAGGTCTTTGGACGGCCATTTATTACTTATCGATCTTGATCGGTTCGGTAGGTATGTTGATAGGTATATGTTTGTCTGTCTGTCTGTTTGTCTGTGTGTTAGATGTACGCGATATCTCACGAAAGTGAGATTCGATCTGCTGCAAATTTTGCATGTGCATTCATCATAGCTCGGATCAGAAGCCTATTGATTTTGGATGGATTATGTCGCATAATTAGCGAGTTATTAATTAATTAGTGATGGGACACACGGTGTCACTATGGAGTAAGACCACTGTTTTGGGGGATCCCCTAACCTTCGATCGATAAGTCTTTGGTTTCCAACCGAATTCTAGCTTTATTATTGTTACTTATCGATGTTGATCGGTAAGTATGTTGATTGATAGGTATTTGTCTGTTAGACACTTTCGTATGTTACTCGATATCTCACGAAAGCGAAGTTGAATCTTCTCCACTTTTTGCATGTGCATTCATCATATCTCATATAATTAGCGAGGTATTAATTAATTAGTGACGGGACACACGGTGTCACTATGGAGTAAGAGCCCATGAATCGATCGATAAGTCTTCGGTCTCCGACCGATATTCTCGTTTTTATCATTGTTGTCAATTTATTATTATGACTTCATCCACCATCAAGTTCATGCTTAACGGAAACAAATAACTAACTAATCGACATGGAATGGTAACCGGACGAGAGCCCGTGGTTCGCCATATGGTTAAGCCATCTTATCAGTTTTCCTTTCCCCGGGATAAATAATGTGAATCCTATTTTATCCCAATAATAAACCTTGTGCATAAACTTAATTTTGCACGATAATATACAAGTTCCTAACTGCATTCAAATTCAATCCATCCACAACAAAACAAAATTCTTAGCTACTGGCTGTTGGGAACCATTGTTTTATATTGACGGCAATTAACCAGTTATTTTTATCTTTTTCCTATAGGATTTACATATTTATCCGGGAGTGAGGAAAGGCATTAAGATGGTTTACCATATGGTGAACCACGGCCTCTCGTTCGGTTACCGGATCATGTCGGGTATGGGATTAGATAGGCAGTTATTTATTTTCGGAAGAATGGACTTGATGGTGGAGCTAGCTGTAACCGACCAGCGACGGGGAGTCGAGCAATCCTCTCGCACATAAACTATCCCCGCATGGGACTAGGACCTGCGAGCCTATGAAGTGTAATCAGAGGTGCAAGCGTATTCCTAACGCTTAGCACGATTCGCCACCGTCAAAAAATTTATCATTGTTTTTTCTAATTTTTGTAGAAACTCCAGAATCGGTTGAAATTATCAGTGGAGACTCGTCAGAAAATCATGATAAATATCTTGTGCAGTGGAAAACAAGAGGACTGGGTGGAGGAGAAGTATCAAAACTAATTGTCATCGTTGAACAGGTTTGTATCTTTTACATAAATACAATTTAGAGCCCAAAGTGCAGACTGCAGAGGCCGGAAAAATTGACGTATCCTATAATTGATTCCTTTTCCCAAACCTATTCCGGGGAGGTGTGTCTGACCTAAATAAATATGACCTGAATAATCAAATCTTGAGGGGGGAATCATCATATTACAACGCAATGAACAATAATGTAACAAGAACCGGATATAAACAAAAGACTCCAAATATTAGCACTCTGCAGTAGGAATAAATAATTCACTTCAGAGATTGGGTTGCCAGTGTATATTACACTCATAGCAGGTGTCTGCAACTTACGGCCCGCGGAGCAATATAATAGGCCCGCGACGCTTCACTGAATTATAGTAACAAATTATAGCTATTTCGTCGATTTTATTCTTTACGCAAAAGAATTTACGTGTAGACTAAATTATATTATAACGTAACAAGTATATAATTACTCGTTTAATGAGCCTATAATTTAATTATAATTTAGACAAATGGCAACAAAACACAGAAAAGCTGATGATAAGTGCAAATGGTTTAATGGTGTAAAAAATATTCAAATGGTCAGTCTTCGCGCACTGCTTAAAATTTAACTTCCGATCTGTGTGATAAAATGTGATTCATCGGTCATCCATTCGATTCTTAACTTTCTAAAAATATGTGCGGCCCGCCAATGACTTGCAAGTTGCAACATTTAATTTTGGCCTACGAGCGACAAAAGCTCGACCCCTGACTTATAGTGTCATACATAGCAATTTTTCGTTGCTTGAAACAATTCCGACGCCCTCAATATGCTAACTCAATTTCAACAGCTATAACTCGTACGATGTGTTACGATTTGTATGGTAGACCTATATGTAAACTTTTAATAAAAACATTTTAGGGCTGTTTTAGGAAGTCTGCTTGTATGTATCGATATATATTAATCAAAAATTGATTTTTGTGTTTCTAGTTGACTGAAACAATAGACAGCCAGAATAGAACAAAAGTGAGAGAAATATTATTGAAACCTGGAGACCAAGAATTTGAAAACGAATCGGTTATTATTGAGAGTAAGACGTTGTTGTTGTTAATTTAATTTTTTGTGACGATTTTGAAGCTAAATATTGGGGTTAATGGAGAGTTGAATTTTCAAATGTTAAATTACATTCCTTACAGTAAGGACACAGTTCTAACCGAATATCTTCGCGATGTGAACCTAGTCTATGTCCAATTATTAGGCCATTACACGCACTTGTTGTGAAGTTACTATATGCATGCCATGCTTGGCGGACTGTTAGGCATCAAGAAACAATAATTCAGAGATATAGTTAATGACAAAAAAACGACGAAAAAACATTATCAGTACAAGGGTATACGAAAACTAGCTATGCACATAATGTATGCAGATTGGAAATTTCAATTTCTTTCTTGCGAATCCTATGTTGAAATGCAAGGAGAAATACAGTAGGATAGGATTCACAAATTTATCCCTAAGGGAGATAAAAACTCATGAGACGGCTCAATCATATGACGAACTACGGCCTTCCATCTTGTTACCATTCCATGTCGGGTATGGGATTAGTTTGCCTGTTATTTGTTTTCAAATGCATGGACTTGATGTTGAAGGAAGCCGAAAGCGACCATCGGTTACATGGACCATCTTACGGCGGCGAGGAGTCCAGCAATCCTCTCGCAAGTAAGTATCCTCGCATAGCATCAAACCTGCGGACCCACACAGGGTAATCAGAGGTGCGATGTAGCCTTAATACTTGGAATCCAAAACCTAATGTTCTGCAACACTGTGATAATAAATTCCTCGTTATATTCAGATCTTGTTCCTTCTAGCAAGTACGAGATATCAGTTGTCGTATACAATGAAGTTGGATCAGCAAAAGCAAAACGAATGTTTAACACGGCTATGGGTAAGTTTATGTCAACACCTTTTTCTCAATATGTTTCAACATTGGTGTGAATTGCCCCAAATCTTCTACTATAGCTATTCAGTAACACAATATTTTACATTATAATTCCTTGAAATCTTAGTAGCTAATGGTATTTCAGCGGCTGCCCAATCTTACAAAAAATAGGTGGAAACACGTAATTTTTAATATAATTTCTTGAAGTCAGCTTTTGGCATCTTAGAAGACGTCCATTCTTGAAAAAATAGATGAAAAATATATAGGGTGTCCATAAAGTCCTAAAATTTTTTAAAAGTGCAAAGGGCATTTATCGATACCATATATTGTTTTGATGTCTGCTGAAATTATGACTATAGTTTTCATGGATATAAATTTCATTTGAAATTTGTGATCGATGAAAATATCATCATAATAACCCTGATTGTTAAATTGTGCTTCTTATTATTATATAAACAGTAGTTGAGATGTTGGACTAACTTCTGTAAATTAATTGTTTTTTATTCAGTTTTGAGCCCCAGCAACCAAGTCTATAATCTGTAACTGGCCCTCTTAGTGAAGTAATTGTCCACCATTGTTTTAATAAAAGGTTTATCACAGACATGAGTTAGCTTATTCCTTTACCAATTTGTTATTAAAATGTTTTAGCATCGATGAAGTAATATTAGCTAAAAATTTTCTGCGAAAGTCAGCATCCTGTTTCTCCCAATTTGTTATGTTCTCCATTAAGTAGCGGTGTGTACTAACTTTAATGGGCGTTCCCGTAGTATGTGCACCAAGATGGCAGACACCGAAACGTAGTATGTATACCAGGTTAGGGTTAGGCTATAATTTTATTCTAATTTTCTTTATTTTAGTTCTATTACAAGTTTGAGGACTAGCCAAGTGACTCCCGTAGTATTTGTACCTGAAATTATGGCCTAACCCTAACCTGGTACGCATGCTACGTTCCGGTGTCCGCCATCTTGGTGCACATACTACGGAAGTACCTTTTAATGGACTGAAAGCTTTATTTACTTGCGGTAATATTCTGGCCGGCCTACCCCATTCAGTTCGTAGGGAAAGAATGTCTGAACCATTAATTTTGTTTTATATAAGGAATGCGTTTTTTTAGCCAAGTCATTTTTTAAAGGGTTCACAGATTGGTGTTGAAATGGGTACAAATTACCCAAAGCTCACAATCTTGTCCCAATCATTAATGCTGTTATTTCAGGGCCGACCACGAGAGCGCCCACTTCCGTAGTCAGTAAGCCAACAGCGTCTACAACAGAACAGTGTGAGAGCGATATAGATCCTACAACAAGTGAGGATAATTCACCACACGATGGCAGTAATAGTGAGGAGGAAGCTGTTATTAGTAACTCAGCACTTGAGGGCAGTATTAATGAGGAGGAGGGTAAGGTTGAATTAGAGGATTCACCTGGAGAGGAAAGCATAGAAAATGAATTGCAAACTAGAAAGGGGAGAGCTCAATCAGAAATCGGAGAAATAGTGAAGTCTAATGTAGAAACCACGAAGGACCCAGAAAGCACAGGTGAATATGAAATACAAAAATTCGAAGGTAGAATATGATTTACATATTTCAGAAGGGAGAGGGAAGCTGATAAGACGATCTAATCATCAGGGCCTCACATCCGTTACCAGTTTGATCAGATATATCATCAGTTAGCCCGTTTTTTGTTTCGCAGGTTGCCAGCTTTTAGGGTAGGATTTACAAATTTATACCAACGAGAGGAAAGTCGGCATAAGATTACCTAATCATATGGCGAACCACGGCCTCTCGTGTTTGGTTATCAGTTCATGTCAGATATGATATTTGTTAGTCAGGTTTCAAAAGAAAAGGGCATATGCTGAAATTTTGCGAAAGTTTATTTGGAAATATTATAAAAATAAATGCATCACCATGATGTTACATGAGTTTAAAACTCAAAACTATGTTTTTCCTCGGTTTTCTCAAAACCGTTTTTTGAAAATTTTGCCTTTCTGGGCTAAAGTCCTCAAATTATCAGAAGCAAACAAATTTGAATTAATTGAGCATGTTATACAATACAAAACAGTTGAGAATTTATGTCGCACTGCATAATGCATTAATAAAATTTATTGCTCTTGCTAAGACTAAGTGAAATCTTGGCGCGTTGCTCATATTCCGAGTTCCATCTTTTTCAACTTGATATTTCAAAATTCAATTCAAAGTTCGTTTGCATTACGAATTTCAATTTTGCAGAGTTTGGGAATTATACAATGCCAACACCTGGCAATTTAACCGATGACCTAACAACGGATTTAACATTTGGTAAAAATAATCCACAGCGTGAAATTGTTTTTTTATAGCACATTTTTGTCTTTATTTGCACAATTCTTTTGATGTAACAACAGTTTTTGTTGATATTGAAAACAAAAATTGGATTTTTTTCTCACAAACATTTGCTTACAGTGAATTAACTTGCACTTGTTATAATTATGTATTTTTCATTTATCCTGCTCTGTGTGAGGTGGTCGGTGGACTAACAGTAAGCGTTAAAATATCGCCAACTTTGCTGATAAAAACGCCATCAGGTGTATCAGTGATATAATATTTATTAAAATTCTCAAGATCCATTTCATCTGTTCCCTCCACGGTAGAATAACGACCCCATGATAAATTAGCTGGGGGGTTTGCAGCGAATTGGCACTCTAGGGTGGCTAAAGTGCCTTCGCATGCCCATGCATTACCTATTTAAATAAGTTGATTTTGGTGCGTCTAAAAAATGTTGAATCATTTTTAAGTACAGGGATTTCCAAAAGATATGAGTATTTGAATCCGTTTGAAATTGATTGCCATATTACTCCTTGCATAATAGGTGGTTTATTTTTATGCGATTTATTCATACGCATTTTGTTTCAACAAGGCTTAGCAAAGGCAGCCACTTACTGGTATATTTGAGGAGTCACTTTATTTGGGAGATCGGGGATTGTTCTAGTTCAAAATTCCATAACCAATTTATTACAACCTAGTGGTGACCATGGGATTTGAACCAGACTTGCGATGCTAATATAGTTAAGTCTAACATTTTACCCGGTAGGCCATCAAGTCCACCGACTAACTCATAAAACCAAATATCTGGTAATATACCGGTAGTTAATTCTACTGCTAAGCTACCATGCTCACAAAAGTTTTTCAAGATTTATTTTTCATCTGTGATAATTGGTTTCGTGATTCCACACCTTATAAACTCAAGAGTGCTGAGAAATATCTTGTGTATGTGTGGGAGTGGAAATCCATGCCCTTGTCAGTGTTAGTAGAAGTTCCTGTCCCACGGACCAAGTTGAATCATGGGGCAACAGCAGTATTCACTCGTAAGAAAATTATGAGTGCGAAAGGGTCTCGCAAGTGAAGAAATTGCTTGCTTACTTGTATGCAAAATATTCGTCAACTTCAAAATGTTCTCTTCAAGAACGAAAAAAATAGTGATTTCGCATTCTGAAAAAATGCAAAAAGTGCCTCGTAGTTTTCACAAAATAAGTGAGCTAACAGTGAAACCTGGTCCCAACCATTTTTGATATTCCTTTATTTTGAATCTATCATTCTTTCCGTGTTATGATTGAAAACTCAATTCCCATTATTTGTTCAATTGTTTAAATACAGGGTGCCCAATAAAAATGTCGCCGTATTTTGTATTAATAACAATAAAAAATTGCTTTGCCTTTGTTTATTAATAGTTTTTATTGTGCTTGTTGTTTTCCTTTTTTCATACAATGAAATCAATTTAATCTTAAAATTGTTATTACTATTCAATCTAGCAAATTTATGATTGTTATTACTTTGAAATCGGCCAAATTTTTTTGGAAACGATAATAATATTACAATAATAATAAATAACCAAATAATTAATTTAAGTTAACTACTCTACAAGCAATACAAAGTTTTATTCCTGTATTCCCCCCCCCCCCCCCCCCCCCCCCAAAAAAAAAAAAACTCAATGAACCCCAAATTTTTAAATGCCATGTTATTAACTCTAATTTCCATCTGCATATTTTAATTCCAGAACCACAAACGCAAACAACAGTGTCCAATAGCACACAGGTATCCTTGGGAGGATTCGCGGGATGGAAGATATTGCTTATCATCATATTGGTGTTGGTGATATTGGTTGTGCTGATAGGTGCGTTTTCTTATCATGTTTGAGTTTTAACGACAGAAGAACGAGAATATCGGTCTTAGACCGAAGACTTATCGAACGAAAGTTACGGGATCCCCCAAAACAGCACTTTTGCTTCATAGTGACACCTTGTGACATCACTAATTAATCAATAACTCTCTAAATATACGACATAATTCATCCAAAATCAATAGGCTTCTGGTTCGACATATGATGAATGCACATCCAAAATCTGGAGCAGATTCTTGCTTTCGTGTGATATCGCGCACATCTAACAGACAGACAGACAAATACCTATCAACATACTTACCGATTAAAATCGATAAGTAACAATACAAATATATATTTATATACTATGAAAATTGGGTATTCCGTAGTATGTGTACCAGGTTAGGCCATAATTTCATTCCGGTTTTCTTTATTTTAGTTCTATTACGAGCCTGGGGACTGTCTGTGTTAGCCAAGTGAATATACCGTATCCCTGTCCATAGGTTTCAGTGCCTTCACACAACTTGACGTAAAATAAGGCAAACAAAGTTAGTCACCTCCATATCGGTACACACACTTCAGGAGCACCGAAAATTGTCACACAATAATTATTTTACTTTACAGATGTTATCTGCTGTTTTACTCGAAGTTGGGGTGTTACAATGTGGATTTATGCTAGGACTTGTGGGGAAAGTAATAAGCACAACGTAGAGGACGCTGAAGAGGGTGCTGCTCAATTCAGGTGCGAAAAAAACACTTTCTTCTGGGAGAAAGCTGGGATACCTTGCCCTTAGGATATTCGAAGTACGGGGAATGCTACGGGTGTGCTTGGGCATGCAAGTTTCATTGCTCGTTTTTTTTAGGCGCTTGATCATACCTCCCGCTCTAGCCCCCTACAAGCAGCCACTGATATATAACGATATCCACGGAGCTATTTTTTTTGAACAACTGAAATTAATCATGTTCTACATTATCTACCCAATTTATTACACCCTGGATAAGGTGGTGTAACCATGATGTGTAACCAACAATCTCAACACAATGAAGTCTAACTCTTTAAACTGGGCATGTAATTTTCATTGCTAGATATTTGTAATGTCTCGCGTTATCTTCAAATTCCTTCAGTACTTCCCTTTGTTAAGCTTTCCTCAAAGCAGCACACAGTATTTGCACGATAAATAAAGCTTTTACTACTACAATTCATTATACACGAAAGTAACTTGATACAACATAAACAAACAGGGAATAACTATAGGTTGGAAAACACTGCTTTAATGCATTGTGCTGAGCTCCATAAACATGTATCACACTGGTGAGTGCTCTTGAGCTGACTGAGTGTGATTGTAGATTTAAATTTTGGGAGAGTGATTAAGTGTGAGAGGATTGGGACTTTGTGGACACCCTTTAAATATCTTGATTTCGCCACGGAATGAATGATAGGTTTGTGGTTGCAAAATTTCACCAAAAAATTTTTTTTTTGATTGACAAGTTTGCACTGCCTGTGAATGTGATTGAATTTTCTGGAACCCCAGAAAATTGAAATCGAACTGTTTTTATTTTATCATCTGGTTTTCTTTATCAGTATTTTATATATAACCAGTTGGCACTTGTAATAGGTAGATCAATGATTTTCAGGCCCTCAAGTCACAAAACAATTAATCTAAATCAGTGTTATCCAAACGGGGAGCCCCCTGCGTGGTCGCACAACAAATTTTAGAGGTCGTTAAGAGTACAGCAATTTTACACAAAGTACTCGATCTAGCAGGAGTAACAGTGTCAACTTTGATTCTTTGCTGAATTCGATCATCAACGCGTAAGAGCGAGTAACAAAACACCAAATTAGGTTGTGATATACTGACTAACAGTTAACATTGAATGGCGTTCAAGCGAGCATATCAACAAAAGTATTTATTTTAAACATTTTTTTCTCCCATCAGTGTGAAGGCTGTACCTGTCGGGAGTGTTCTGTGAAACAGTGATTGGAATTGCTACTAAATTGGGCAACATGGCGATTTTGGCCGTACTATTATTCTATATGGTATTAGACCTGACATGGGCGAACTACGGCTCGTGGGCCAAGTCCGGCCCGTTGGGTAATTCAATCCGGTCCGCCTGATGCTGCCACATCCTAACTAAAAACAAATTTTGATGTTTTAGCTAAAGAAATAACTTGAAGACTTTGTTGAGATTGCGGTTAAATTTAGTCTTGGCGCGAGGCTTATTGTTTTCCACTTTTGTTTATAGCCCCTGGACTAAAAATCTTGCCCCCCTCTGTATTAGACAGTTGTATAAAATAGAGTTATAGAAAACTCTGTCTCCCAAGTACTTGGAATCGTATAAAATAGAGTTATAGAAAACTCTGTCTCCCAAGTACTTGGAAATCGCCTCAAGGTGTCATGAACCCAAGTTAGAGATTCCCTGCCCAAGATCCAAAGTCAATCTATTACTCTTCTACTTCATTAAATTGAATCTGTATTTTTTTTAGCAAAGAGACAGAAGGAAAATACAAGTAGGTCCATGGTGTCATTGTCCTCACTTTCATTGACTCAACTCATAGCTGGGGATGTCCATATCGTATTAATTTGATATTCAGATTTTGATTTATAACCGATTCCAAACAATTTTAAGTCAATTTATTTGTGTAAAAAGCATTCTGCTGAATTTTGGCTGAAAAATTCGAACAATTATCATCAGATTGGAAACATTTCACAAAAAAAAAATTGGGATTATTTTTGAATTTTAAATTTTTGAAAAATTGTTTGATGAAAATTTGTGTGCATTCATACAAGCATACAATAAACATTTTTTTTGATAATTATTTTTCGCCCTTATTTATTATTACAAAAATTTCCATCATAAACTTATGTGCAGGAGGTTCAATTTTTGAGTCCGCAAATAAGTGGTCTTTCAGACATGGATTAACAAAATTCTTCGGTAAATTAAAGCATTCTCACTTTTACTATTTTTTTATGACAACTAATTTTAAGGACATCCCTGCCCACCTACCTCACACATGGTACTGTCACGCTCAACTCTCATTGTCGCATTCATCTTTCACCATTTCTCATGTCATTCATCTCTTCACTCAATTTCTCAAACCTTACTCATTTCTAAAAAATTAGAAACTAATTCAAAATTTAATGTTAGTATAGTTGAGGTTCGAATTTATGCAGAGCTATTAAACAAAGAATATTTTCAAAAAATGACAACCGAGTTGTAGAGCAGAGGTGAGCAAGGTTTTTGAACCAGGGGCCGAAAATTTTGCCCACCTAGACTGGCAGGCCATGTAAGTGTGACGTAAAAAGTTACATTTTATGAACAATAGTTACAGTGTTACAAAAGCAAAAGTCGAAAACAATGAGCTTCGTGCCAAAACAAATTTAATCGCAATCTCAATAAATTCCTCAGCAATTTTTCAGCTAAAACATCAAAATTTGGTTTCAGTTTGTTAGGGCAAGATTAAGCGGGCCAGATTGAATATCCCAACGGGCCGGATTTGGCCTGCGGGCCGTTTACCCATGTCAATTGTAGAGGGTAGCAGATCCCAAGCTGACATTACTTGTGTAGTCTTGTGTGACTGATTGTGGTAATGGTGAGTCGGCAATGGCTGACTGCCCTTTCCCGCCAATATGCTTTTGTGGTCATTGCGTGATCCAGCACAATGATACAAACATTTCACTCTGAATTGAATTTTAATTTATTCATTCTCACGTATAACAACATCTATAATTTGTGTATCCCTGAATTATTTTTGAAGTTGGATATAAGAAGCATCCTTATGAGAAACTCACCCAGGACAGCAGAAAAGTTTGCCAAACCCACATCACCACTAAGTAAAAAATGTCTTGTAACCTGTTTTCCTATAGTCAGCCACAAGCTGATGCCGAAGAGATTAATCTTGGGGCTGTAGGGGTTGTCGAAGAGAATCAACCAATTGCAAACGAGGCAGAACCCATAGCTAACGGAGAACCGTACGTTGGTTAATGTAGTGTGGTTGTTGTTTATGTCAGTTGTTGGTCAAGGCATCAGTTGTTGGTCGTGGCATCAGTCGCTGGTCGTGGCATCGATTGTTGGCCGTGGCAGTAGCTGTCAATTGTGGCAGTAGTTGTTAATTGTGGCATTAGTTGTTAATTGTGGCATTGGGTGTTGTGACATGCTATGTATTGATTGTGGTATTAGTTGTTGGTCGAGGCATATGATGTTAATCGTGGCACTGGATATTATAATTTTACCATTTTGGCGTCAATGATTGGTTGTGGTATTATTTGTTGGTTTAAGCATTATTTATTGGTTAAGGCACCATTGTTACTTGTTGATTGGATGTCGTGGTTTCGTTATTAATTGGTTGTGGCATTAGTTGTTGGTTGAGGCATCTGCCGATGACTGTGGCATCATTTGTTGATTGTGGCATTGTTTGTCGGTCGAGACCCTATCTTTTGGTTGTTGGTTAAGGTTATGATTGTGGCATTAGATGTTGTAATTTCACTATTCATGGATTGTGGCATTAGTTGTTGTTTAGGGCATCTTGTGTTGACCGTGGCATTGACGGCTGGTCAAAGCATCATTTGTTGGTTGTGGCTTTGTTTGTCGGTTAAGGCATTATTTTTTGGTTGTTTTTAAGGCATGATTGTGCCATTAGATGTTGTAATTACAATATTAATTAGTTGTCGGTTAGGGCATCTGATGTTGAATGTGACATAGATGTAGTGATTTCAATATTTATAGATTGTGGCATTAGTTGTCGGTTAGGGCATCTGTTGTTGAATGTGACATGGATGTTGTAATTTCACTATTTATAGATTGTGGCGTTAGTTGTCGGTTAGGGCATCTGTTGTTGACCGTGGCATTGGATGTTGTATTGGTTGTGGGCTGTGGCATTAGTTGTCGGTTAGGGCATCTGTTGTTGTTGACTGTGGCATTGAATAAAGGTCAAGGCAGAATTGTTGGCCGGGGCATTGGATGTTGTGGTTTTACTAAGAACTGGTTTTGTAAATCGAGGCGCCAGTTGGTAACTATAAACTAGATAATGATATTCAGTTTTCTTTATATATCTTTTATACATGTCATAAATAACATTCGCCCTGAACAAGGCCCTGTACTGCGGCCACTGATATCTACCTATCTGTTAGGAGTTCCATGCTAATCTTTGATGATCAGAATTACGACAATAACATAGCCGCTCGAAACATATAAATTGATTTAAGCTGTATCAATTGGGAAATATAATAAGATTTAACGTAAGAAACTCATTTCAGTGCAATCGGCAAACTCGCTCCAATAGATGAGCAGACCCCTCTTCGTAATGACAATGATGGGCCTGACTCAGCACTGACACCTAGTGGGAACGGAAAGGCAGAGGTGCCGCAGGAACCTGATGAAGAAAAAGTAGAAAAGTGAGAGAAATGCAAAAAGCAATATTTACACGTTTTGTCTCCCCCTTTTTACAAACGTTATTCATGCTTTTCACTCCTAACAAGGCCCTTTGCGAGAACCACTGATATTTAACAATATGTCAAGAGCTACCATACATTTGGAAGGAATCTTTTTTATCCATCTTGGATGAGACGAGGCATGTGATCTGCGATGCCAACACAATTTTATTATATAAATATAGATACGTTAAATCAGTCAGAAGGTTGTGTGACATTAAATACTCCATATAAGACGGTTCATTTCATTGTATCATCTATGTACATTGTACATGCTTGGTTAGACCATGTTTTGTTAGACGGGGCCAAGCATGATCAGAGTTACACAACAACTTATCATTCATTGTTTCATCATAGAACCAAATCACCCGAAGAAGAAAAACTTGTCAAAACAGAAGAGAATGGAGAAAAGGCATGATGATGTCACAAGCACTACTGTCATGATGTCACTATCATATTTATTATGACTTCATAAATGCACTAAGTTTTATGTGTCATGTACATAGTGACACAACAGAGACTAATCAGAGAGCTGAAAACTAACATGACATCTTTATTTATTTCCGTTGCCATAGCAACTTATTATTTCTGCATGTCATATAATCATCTGTGTCATATTTCTGAATGTCATAAACAACTTTTGTTCAGTATTCATCGGTTAGGCATTGCAAAATAGGGTGGAAGCATGAAAATATCGTAGACGATAAAGATTAAAATACCTAATACACTGTAGTCTAACTACAGTTGCCGATTTCAAATTATTTTCATACAACGTTTATTTTTTATCCCCCCCCCCTCATAACAGAGTTCTTTGCAAGCAGCCACTGATAAATGAACACTATTATATTTGGAAAGGCTGTATCTTCCTGTTTCAGCATTGTGTATCAAATATATCAACCTGGGTTAGCGGATGGACATATGATTGCCCCAAATTTTTCTGTCTGGCTACACAATTACCACATAGCTTATAATTTTTCTGGAGAGACAAGCGCACTTTTTATTTTGTATTATGATTTCATTTGTAAATATTCATTTGTGTAAAGTTCCTCCTGTATGATTATTTCTATGTTTATATCTTATTTCCTCATTTTTATGACATAACAAAGCATTCCAAGATAAACAATGCTCTTTATTATTTTGTCACAGTGTTAAAGAAGAATCTTGAAATAATCGCGGATGAATATCCAAGAATTAAAGTTTGAGTGTGAAAAGGACTAATTTGGAGTTTTGCTTGGGGCGAGATTTACTTTTGTATATTATTTGTAAATATACCTTGAGTGTCCAATACTTTTCTTTGGTGTAGAAATTCTGATGCTTATTGTGGGTTTTGTTGTAGAAAGGAGGATTTTTCACAGCCCATGAGGTTATTATGACACCATTAATGTCACGTTTTCTAATGTTATGCCACTTTTTGGACAATTTAAACTTGTTGTTCTCAAATTTTATTCTCTTGTGGTTCATTTCCAGCGTCGAAAGAAATCTTAGGCTTTCTCGGGATAACTTTTAATATCATAGCTTTTTCTTTCATCAAAAAATAAATAAATACGGTAAAAGTGTTAATGTTTATTTTTTCTAGTCAAACTTCCAAAACTTGGTTCAGCATCAGGCCTAAATTTCTTCTCTTCTCTATTTGTAATTGATGAGGTTTCTCTGGGACTTGTTGTAGGCGCATTCAAAAAATCCTGAAGGCCTTGTAGGCGCATTCAAAAAATCCTGAAGGCCCATATAGTCCTGAGGTACCATGTTTAGAAACACTGCTTTAGACTCTTTTCCCACCATTCAAATTTCAAGCATATGCCTCGCATATTTTGCTCAAACAAGATTCTTCAGTGTTCTACATATTGTTGCCATCATTTTTTGTAACAATGTCTTTATTTTATTATTTTAGCACCAACAATTTTGCAGTTATATGCGAGTTCTTGCCGTTTTGATTCTTACCGTTCTTTAATTTGGACACACTGTAATGTATAAGCGCGTTATTCATTTTAATAAAAATGTTCTAAATTCAAGGCTTTCCCCCTGATCTCTTCTTGAGGCGTTTTATCGACTTTTAAGTACCTATTATTTAGTTTTCAAAAAT